CAATACAATTCGTATGTCCTCTGGTCCGCCAGCTGCGATGATGGCATCCCTCACTGCCCGAAAGATCCGCTCATGCATACGTTGATTTTTCCTGGAACCACAGCAAAGGAATAACAGAAGAAGAGACACACAAGAACAGCACAACCATGCCGATATCAAGCAAGCAGAGTCTCACCTTAGTGCAATCGCGAAAGCCAGGGGAAATCCCTGAGGCCTGGCGCGACTCCGTGCACGGTGTAAAGTTGCCCACGCTTGTTTGTGATCTGCGGCTGAAGGTCGTGGACCCCATCAGCAACCAGGGCACGAAGCCCCACACGACAGGCCTTCTGAAATATGATGGTGGAGTCAGATTGCGAGAAAGAAGACGGGAAGACTCACCGCTATAACATCCGGAGTGTAGTAAATGTGCAGGTCTGGGCTCATGAGCTGCAGGAATGGCGTTCCATTTCGTAGAAAGGCGTACTCCCGCGGCACATTGTCCATGGTTACCCGCCTGTCGTGGAGCTTCGCAGTTGCCCTAAATGTCCACTTCATTTCATTAACTTAGTTGGCATTATAAGTTAATGCATACCTTGCAAACGCTGAGCGGCGTGATTCGTAGCCATTCCGAACGAAGTAACCAAGCATTTCGTCCCGCTCCCTTTCGTCTAAATGGGGCGAAACATAAAACTCAGACCTCTACTGAATGGATGTATACAAGCTGCTTACCAGAAACTTCACTGTTGTGAACCTTGAGTAGCACCTGCTGGTAAACCTGTCGCGGCTTAACGTGCGCGAAGCGAGCTTCCCTTGGAACTTCATGACACGTCTGCAACAGACAGCATTATGAATGGAACAATCGTTATATCACAGTAATAACCACTTGAGTGTTCATGTGCTACCTCTATACGGTCTACTCGCTCCTTCGAGTTCCTCCATGGCATGCAGATGTGCGGCAGGTGCACGGGATCGCCAACGAGGTTGTATTCATTGACCACCTAGAAATTGGACCACAGTGATGGTGATAGAGAAAATAATTGCAAATCTAGGGACGCTGTGCTGGATTCTAAGGGGTTCATGTTAAAAAATTACATGACAACCCTCGTAAATATGCCAGAACAGAGAAAAAACAGCACAATAGGGAAGATGGCAAGGGCTGGAATAGAAACTGGATCACAGTGATGGTGACAGAGAAAATAATTGCAAATCTAGGGACGCTGTGCTGGATTCTAGCAGTCTACGATGGGGTTCATGTTAAAAAAATTACATGACAACCCTCGTAAATATGCCAGAACTGAGAAAAAACAAAAAAAAGAAAAAAAACAGCACAACATGAATGATCACGTAAAAGCAAATATATAAAAATGTTAATGTTGAGTAAAAAAATGTAAAGAGCAGCAAAATACAACACCAGAATTTCACAAAAAGATGGCGGCGAATATTAGCAATGTAGCAGTGAATAGTAGATGGTAGACGTTGTTGCTGCACAGGAATTCAAAGAAATTGCCATAGCAAAACTTTCCATGATGTGGGTCGAGGACGCCGTGAAACAACGCTAATCCTTTGCTCCAGTGACAACTCGGGAGTACGGTAACGCCACGCAGCAGCCCCGCCCACCGGCGCGGCGACCTACCTATTGTCGACGATTGAATCGACACACACCCGTCGCTGTGTGGCCCTCTCTAAATACGGTATTTCCCACTTGACGTGCGCTCCCTTTCCTGTCCTTTCGTCTCCCCTCCCCCCACACTCCTCGTCCCCTCCCCTCTCCACGAAAGTTTTTTTCGGGGGGGGGGGGAACATAGGGAAGCTTGGTAAAACTCATGAAAAAAAGGCAAAAAATCATGGAAATTCAGAGAGGCGATAGGTAAGATGAGGAATAAGGAATAAGAGATGGTGCCTGCGATTCCGAGTGCGGGGATCGTTCTTTTAGGAACGTGAATCAAGAAGGGTGACGAGGTCAGAGTAGATTAATGAAGTAGGGCTATTTAAGGTAAGAGAGATGGCGAGCAAAAGAGGCACATTCAGAGGATTAAAGCACGAGTAAGAATAATGGAGAGCACTAAGTATGGTGCTCAGGGCACAGCATTCGATGGGGATTTTGGTCGAGCTTTTACGACCCCCCCCCTTTTTTTCAGGGGCTGGTACGACCCCCCCCATGCTCCTACGATGGCTGTGGTTGTGGTTTATACTCGGCGAAAAAGTTGTCGAGCGGGGGGGGGTATGTAGTAGGCATGCGACGTACATCGTACGGGCGTACATAGTACCTATAACACAGAAAATTCATAAAACTCATGAAGTGAGCCAGAAATACGACCCCC